TGGCATGTCCAGAGGTGAAGTTCACGCACCATAAACCAGATCTCTGATACACCTCTGGAGTTGGCTCTCCCCGACCGTACCTGCAGCAGCCATGACAACCAGGAGTCACAGGGTCACATCCAGTCCGCTGAATCAGTGAATCCAAATCAGCTCAAAACAAAATGTTGTCACGAGTGCTTCCAACATATTCTCTCATGTGCACAGAAACAGCAAACAGGATCAAACAGATGTGCTGCACATCAGTCAGTGGTGTGAAGATGTGAACTCTGCTCCATCCTGTGCAGAAAACTTCTCTTGTATCTAACAACTGAGCTTAGGGGGATAAAAATGTAGTTAAACATTTTCATCAAACATTTAGCTTCTTATGATTAATAAAAGTAAATTATATGAATAAACCAATGGTTTTCTTGTTTTGTCACATGGTACACATGCAGTGCTCCCTTTTCTTCACTCGTCCCCAATAAACCAGACTAAGTTCAAGCAGGCCGTGGCCTTATTTATGCGTGTTCATCTGCTCACGACTCATGTTCGTGCTGCTGTTCAGCATATTGTTTTTATGCTATTAGTGCTTAGTGTATATTTAGTTGCTGTTTTTCTTAGTTCATATCTTAGATCTTATTACTGTTTTTCTTTTACATTTTATTGTTGGATGCAACTGGGACCCTGTGTACACAATTTTGCTCCACCGTATGTACCACATGTGATGCGAACGACAATAAAGAATCTGAATCTTATTTATTTTTAGTCTTTAGTCAAAAGAACATATTGGATTCATTGAGTAAATTGGCAACATTTGGTTTCCATCAACATGGAAAAGCAATTACAATTTTAAAATGTTAACTTTGATAAAGGCTCTAGTCAGGGAGTTTTTAAAGAGACCCATACTGACCACAATAACAGTGGTTTTTGGTCTTTGGTACAATTGAACTATGACCCAGTCACAAACAGGTAAGAACCAAGAGACAAACATTTTGCATCTAAGTCATTTGTGGTTGTAAAGCTTAGAAAAAAATGACTTTAAGATGTACTTACCCATTTAAACCATCTGTCCTGGTACAACTCGCTCACAGATCACAGCAGCATTCCTTTGACAAAGAAGCACTTTATAAAACTACTCTGAAAATTGAATTAAATCCTGATTTAGCTGACCATATTTCAACTATTGGCATTGATCCCTGTAGTTTATTTACAATAAAATCTAAATGTCTCCCTCTTTTCCACATTGGCCTATCACCCACAAAAAGTGAAAAGCTCATTCCACCCTCAGTGTCCTCAAACACATCATTAACTGCAGGAAATGACCATCCAACACCAGATGTGCTTAAACCTTGTTGGGAGAAGGGAAAGGCAAAAATGAAGAGCTTTAGATTGATAATAAGTCCTGCAGTTAATTATATCAATCTGGATTAATTAAACATGTCTCTACCTACAGTTCCACCACGGATGCTTCTGGATGAAGCAGTTGATTGGAAACTATTAAATAAGAAGGACAAGGACAGATTTTTTATTTTGGATGCATATACTGTGCAGGACTACATCAACCAAAACTTTTTTTTTATGTACATATTTATAGAGATGCTTAAAAAAGTACAGCTAATCAGATCGGTATAGTGTTCATTGTACCACAATTTAATATTAAAGTAGGGGAAAGGGTCAGTGACAGAGTGTCCGTTTATACAGGAGAAATGTTTTCTGTGAACTGTTCAGTGGGTTGAAGAAGTTACTATTAAGATCACTTATTCGCTCAGACTCTAGTTCATCGTTGGCTATAGCTTGCAGCACAGCCAGTCAGAGTAGACCGGCCATATTGATTGTAATACAACAAACACTTTATAGAATCAATATGATGGGGGTGACAAATACATTTGTTGGGGTTCCAGCTCATTTTGGGGCTAATAGAAATGAAATGGCAGATAAAGCTCCAAACAATTTTCAGTTGATATTAATATTAGGTTTAGTAGGACAGAAATAAAGGGAATTATAAAACATAAAATGAAACAGAGATGGCAAAAGCAGTGAGAGGGAGAAAGAAAAGGACAGTGATTTTACAAGATCCACAGGAAAAAAAAAAGGAGAAATGAGAATATCAGGAAGGAACAGGAGGGAGGAGACAATTATATCACAACTTAGACTCAGGCATACTGGACTAAACAACACCACCAACACAACCAGTCACATTTCCCTGTCTGGAAACACCAAATGGGGAAATGTGAATGTGGGGAAAATGAGACAATAGATTTTTTTTTTTTTTTTTTTTGTATTGTCAAAATTATCAGGATGTGAAAAATCAGTTAATTCAAACGCTTAATAATTTAAAAATAAAACTAGACCACTTATTTAAGAACAATTCAAGAAACAAAAGTTTTTATTAGACCCTAGACCTTTTTTTTTTAGTTGGCAGAGCAAGTTGTTTGATAGGATCTGAGGTCATTTATTCATTCATTCATTCATTCTGAGCAACATTCGGTCCACACTCCTTTCCAGTTGGAGGCAGTAATGTATGTATGTAAAGCTGTTTTTCAACCGCCAAGAAGAAGAAAAAGAAGACGTTCTCTCCATAGATGTCATATAAAAGCTAGATACGGCGCGGACGAGCTGTATGGCCGCCATCTTGGAACGGTCGATCGCTCCACTCAATGTAACCTGTTTCTCAGGAGCAATGAAGTATCAGCGCGTTTAATCAGTCAGAGCTGAACACTAAACTCATTCTCACCATTTTTTCCTCTGTAAATCTTAGACGTACAGCCATTAAAGCTGAACACGTGGTTCAGTGATTTTAAATATTCTTGGTGGGGTTAACATTAACACTAATAAAATATTCTTATGACAAGTTTTACAAAACTCACAGTCACTGATACATTTTTATTAATATCTATACATTATCTATATCACTGCCATATATCCATATATACAAAGTTTAATAATTTGCTTATACACAATATTGCAATCTTATATACATTATATCTATTTTATATATACACATCTCATGTATGTAGATATATATATATATATATATATATATATATATATATATATATATTCAACCTTTATTGATACAGGTTAGTCCCATTGAGCCAATAGGACTCATTTACAAGAGAGTCCTGGATTTTAACAAAGAGTGATGACAACAGTGGATAACAAACTGTTTTTCAATTGTAAAACAAACAAACAATTTAAAAAAAATTGTATGAATCATTTGTGAATGTGTATTGTTGTTGCTGTTATCAGTGTCTTATTATCTTGTGCTCTGGTCCAGTGTCTTCATGGACGATGTGTGTGAGGGTGGACATGTTTGGAGGTTGCTGTGTTGAAGCTCCATGGATCAGCCTCTCTGCAGCTCTCAGCACCTTCACTGAGCCTTGAGGGAATCACTGAGCTGCTCTTGTTCTTCACAGTTAGAAGGTGGGAGCTCTCGTCAAATGATGATCTCCAGCATCATCTTGTTCATGCCAGGCTTTTCATCCACTGACCACACACACCTGTAAACATCAGGGGGACCAGTAGCTGTTTAACACATCTGGAAGGAAACCAGTGAGATTTTAATATGACCAAGACCATCATGATTTGATGTTATGTGGGGGAGTGGTGGCGCAGAGGTTAGAAGATGGGCCTGTGATGGGAAAGTCGCAGGTTCAACTCCCGGTACCGTCAACATCAAAATGTGGGTGGAAAAGGTGAAACACCCACACCTGCCTCCACCCTCATTGGCCCCACCCTGGTCCCCTGAGCAAGGCACTCAACCCGCACCATCTGCTCCTAAACAGGTCTCTCTAGAAAATGAGTTCTCGTGACTCAATGAAACTACCTGGATAAATAAAGGGTAAATGAAAAAATAAAAAGTTTAAAATAGAAATACTCATCATTAGGCTGAGGTTGTGTGTGTGACGTGCACGTTCCTGAGGTTGTGTGTGTGACGTGCACGTTCCTGAGGTTGTGTGTGTGACGTGCACGTTCCTGAGAGGCCACAGACAGAGCAGCTGCAGCTTTTGTTCAGTTCCTGTAGTCCTGCAGTTTTCAAGCTGAAATGAAAAAGCATCATGAATATGAACTTTACAGTCTCTAGTTACCTGTTCATATAAACACATGGAGGTGTCTCACCTTGTGACTGACAATAAAATATGTACATTTATGAACTCTAATGAACTTATAATGATGCTCCTACTCTTTGAAGGTGAACCGATGGTACCACACCATCTCTCAGTCGGACGATCTGATCAGTTTGATCAAAATCCTCCAGTTTAAAATCCTCACTGCTCAGATGAATCCTCCTCAAAGATACTTCCTCCTCTTCCTCACATCTTGTTCTTTGGGAAACCTTCAAAATGAAAACAGGAGATTTGTGTCCACACAAAAACATTGTACAAAGGAGGTCAATCTTATTTTCTATTTCCTATATTCTCCCTAGTTTTATTTTGTATATCCTAGAACTTAAACAAAACTCCAATTATGATACATATCTGTTGATAATGAACCAAAGCTACTGAAATAGTGAGTATGCTTGGTAGAAAAATGTTCCTGTCATCAGATCTCAGTCAGCTTCATTGCAGCTGAACACCGTGTTACACTGAACATCACATCAGCTGGTGGACATAAATACAGTTCAGTAATCATTCAACCTTTATTTAGACAGGTAAATCCCATTGAGCCTCGAGGACTCATTTACAAGAGAGACCTGATAACAGTACCATAACCAGTAATATTATATTCACAAAATACTCACAATAATATGTTCATCTTACTTGTGAAAAGTTATCCCCCGAGACCTGACGTCAACAGTCCGTCGATTAGAACAGAAATAAGCTGCGAAGTGCTGAAACATCTTCTGCTTTAACCAAATAAGGACGACCGCTCCAAGACGGCGGCCGAAATTCCTGCGCCGCAGCAGCCAATGAGGCGTCTAGTGTTTATATCTGTTTATAACTACGTATGGTTCTCTCGGCGTACGTCATCAACAGTTGACGGAAGTGATTGGTCACGTGCTACTGGAAGAAAGCACCAGATAAACATGGCGTCCTACATGAAGATCATCAACGCTGCCCGGCATCTTCACAGAAACCCAGTTCTGGTTGAACGGTCTTACAGATGCAGACCCGTCCTTCATCTGACCCACACTTCAGGACCTAACCAGGTCCGGACCACACGGCTCTTCAGCATCTCCTCCACCTCCCAGGACTCATCCTGTACAGGAGTCATCAAGGCCATGAGAGCCGGTAGGCTGCCCGGACTCCACCGCTGGGCCCGGGTCGCAAAAGTCCCCCTCCTTCAAACCCGTTTCTCTGGACCCTGCACCCTTCAGTCCCAGCTCTACAGTAACCGGGCCAGCGGGGCCGGGTTCTCCGGAGAGGACGGCGCAGAGAGCGCAGGTTCAGGTGGTGAGGAGTCAGGAGGAGGGGGAGATGAAGAAGGTCCGTACAACGGCGCTCAGATGACGGCTCTGACCCCAATGATGGTTCCGGAGGTGTTTCCTAATGTCCCGTTGATAGCTGTTTCCAGAAACCCGGTTTTCCCCCGGTTCATAAAGATCATAGAGGTAAGCATCATGGACTCGAGCAGTCCGGTACCTCAGGCTATCAAAGCTGCATTAGTCGCATTATATGCATTAGCTACAATATATATATATATATATATATATATATATATATATATATATATATATAATTTTGTTTTCCAATTATCAAATTATAAATCAGAATCTAACGTTTAATTTTATTACAAGTTCTGATATTTTTTTTATTTAATTTCTGTAGTGTCAGCTATTACCCAGTTAACGAGTTAACAACAAAGTCCATGCTCAATAATCCAGGTATACAATCCAACATTTTTCAGTCAGGTCATCTGGACAGTTTCTTTTTTAGTGCTGAAACGTTTCACCTTCCATCCAGAAGGCTTCATCAGTCAAGGAAACACACAACACAAAACTGATTCTTCCCCAAACAGCTTACTCTAAAGTGGAACAAACCAGTTATGTTGGTGCTAAGATGGTCTCTTTGGCATGCCCCCTCCTCCATTGCCGGCCCTCTTCCTTGTTGACAGTCTTGTCAAACTGGTTGAAAACAACAAAGTCCATGCTCAATAATCCAGGTATACAATCCAACATTTTTCAGTCAAGTTATCTGGACAGTTTATTTTTTAGTGCTGAAACGTTTCGCCTTCGATCTGGAAGGCTTCATTAGTTAACGAGTTGTTTTAGCTGTATTAGTTTATGATTTTAAAGTAATTATGGTAATTTTGCTTCTTTTCTGACAAGCTAATGGTAATATGCTTTAACCTCCCTGATGAGGAGCAGGCAATAAAGCTGATCTAGAGGAGCGTGGACACAAATGGCACAAGGCGAGATTTTTGTCAGCCATCATGCTAGGTGCTACGTGGATCACTCTGTGCTCTTTGCATGTGTAATCTACACCTTGTGCTGCAGTATGCTGTGTCATCAGTCCACAAGTGCTCAGCAAAATCCCTAGTGTACTAAAAAAAAGCTTGTATCAAAACTACCAGTACAGCAGTGTCAAATAATGAGTCTCCTATGAAGGCTGCACAAACATTAGCAGAAGCTGAACACTGACCTGACACACTACTCCTGCTGTGATAAACTGACCAAACAATCATTATGACCAGAACTGATGTGAAGTTTACAAAATGCTCTCTACGTGTTAGTCTAACCAGACCTGACTTCACTCAGACTAAAAATGCAGTAAGTGGAAAGTGTGTTTTATATATACATAATGGAGGCCGAGATGGTGTAGAGGCAGGGCAGCCGGCTTGGGACCCAAAAGTCCCAGGTTCGATCTCCAGTCACTGCACATCACGTGGCGTCTCTGGGCAGCACACCCCATCCCCAAAATGCCCCACCCCCCACCCCGCCCCCAACAGCCGCCCACCGCACCACCCGGCGGTGGATGGGTTAAATGCAGAGACTAATTTCGCCATTGTATGGAAACATACAGTGCTGACATTGTGATGACATTATTATTATTATTATAAAGTGGCTGTATATATATATATATATATATATATATATATATGTATGCATTTATTATAGATATATAAATCTGTATGTATGTGTGTGTACATATATGTATAACTGTGTATGTAAACTGTCCTACCCTTTGAAGATACTATGTTTTCTAGTTTTTATATTGCATAGTATCCTTAAATGACTGGGCGGCTGAAGATTAATCTATGGGGGCCTATTACCTGTTACAGAAGTTTTACCTATTACCCTGCTGCCTCAGACAAGGGAAAAAACTGTTTTTCTCCACAGCTGAACTTTTACCCACTTGAATATCTTGCACCAAAAACATTAAGGTTTATTTGCATTCCTTGTTCAATTCCTGTCCAAAAAAACCACTTATGTCCAAAACTACAAACATTCACTATTCAAATCCTACAGCAACATGGGACTGCACGCAGCATACCTCTTATTTACACAGATTTCAACAGTTTAGCCAGTATCCACACCATTTTCATGTAATAGGTTTTTTTCCTTGAGTTATAGTTGATATTCTGTCTTTTCTCCATTAAAACGAGAGTACAGTAAAAATCAAGAGACTTTTCTTTATAAACAAACTTAAAATATCCGTAGATCAAATCAGTGGTTTAATCAACCTGAGCCTTTGTTTACCAAACATAATATTTAACTTCATCGATTTTTCTCTACTTGTTACTAACTTTTACAGTGCAGCTCTATTTGTTGTTGGTCCAAATCATCCTAATCTCAGTGGGCCATGACAGAAGGCCTTTCAGAACCTTTAGCCCCAGGGTCAAAGGTCAGACGATCCCTGTGCTCTGCTCTTCATGTGTGTGACTCTGTCCTCCTGCCAGGTGAAGAACAAAGTCTTGATGGATCTGTTGAGGAGGAAGGTGCGTCTCACTCAGCCGTACGCTGGAGTCTTTATGAAGAAAGATGATAAGTAAGTCGCTCCTTTCGTGAGTCAGCGGTCAAATGGATTTGTTTTAAATGGAGATGGTGATGATGTTTAACAGAACAGGAAGTTATTAGCTAGTCCATGGGTCCTTCTCCCACCAAAGAGTATTTGTTCAGAGTTGCAGAACAAACTTGAAGCATAAAACAAAGACAGTGCAACTCTTGGAGTTAGTTAGTTTGGGGGAGTGGTGGCGCAGAGGTTAGAGAAGGTGGGCCTGTGATCTGAAGATCATCGGTTCAAGCCCCGGTACCGACAACATCAAAAATGTGGGTGGGGTATGGGCCCATGAGCAAGGCCCTTAACCACCATCTGCTCCCTAAACAGGTCTCTTGAAAATGAGTTCTCGTGGCTCAATGAGACTACCTGGATAAAAATAAAGGGTAAATGGGGGGAGTTTATACAAATTATAAATTAGAAGACATCAACTAATTAAAATATATTATACAATGTATGTAAAATACATTATGAAAGCAAAGATTAATAATAAATTTTTGACATAAATCTTCTAATCTTCTAAGGGAGTTTTCTACAACAACAGCAGCTGATTAACATCTCAAAAGCTCAAATAATATCTCAACTACAGCCCCAAATCTCAAATGAGTTGAAAGGATGTTCTGTGGACGCATTCTCATCTACCTGCCAGCTGTGCCTGACCACTGAGATCCTGGAACTAGCAGGAAACACGGCTCATGACAGCGGAAGAACAGGATCGTCCCTCTGCACCTACAGTTGGCTGTCTGCAGCGACGAGGAGCTCGGCAGACTGCTGGGAGGAGTGGCCATCGCTCTGGGAGGAGTTCAGCCTAGCATTCGGTCGGTCCTACAGCCCAGGGGAATCAAGAGGCAGCCGAGTCTGAGTGGACGGATCGGACGGCATCTGCAGCCAGTTTCTTAGGATCCACTGTGGGATGGACCTTTACAAGAGATCCTTCCTGTCTACAGCCATCAGCATCTATAGCATCGCTTAATGAAACGAGGATAACGAGTTACAACAACAAATAATTTCCCTTTGGGATTAATAAAATATTCTTGAATTGAATTGAAATGGCATTGTTTGTGGGCGGATGGCATTCTGTGCTCTCTTTTGCTTTGTTTTTGTTCCCCATCGTGGAGCAAAGGGGCAATCATCGATTGGACCAGTACCCCTCTAGACCTTACCAGGGAGGCTAAATAGAAGGATGTGCCTATAGTTGGAACACACCCTCCGGTACCCCTTTTTGAAGAGGAGAACCATCACACAGTCCGACAATCTAGTGGCACTGCCCCCGATGTTCACGTGAGGTTGCAAAAGCGTGTCAACAAAGACAGCCCCATAACACCCAGAATCCTGAGGAACTCCGAGCAGATCTCATCCACCCATAGTGCTCTGCCCCTGCAGAGATTCTTAACCACCTCAGTGACCTCAGCTCCAGGTCAGACCAACCCTGAGAGAAGTTCTTTACAGAGAGATATCAAAGAAAATGGTTCAGCATGGATACACCCAGGCTTATAAGCAGTGCTGGGATAAGCTAAAGGAACTGAAGTCCAATGATAGGGTGATTAAAGATAACAACATCAGCACATTGCTTTTTATCCACTACCAGGCACAGCTGGAGCCAGGGGGTGGCCAGTGGGGTTCTTTGCCATCATAGATTAATCTTCGGCCACCCCAATCATTTGACGAAACAATATTTTTAAGCAATATAAAAACTAGAAATCATAGTTTTCTCAAATGTAATCTTTTGCTGAACATTTCCTACTAATACATTTTTGTGAGCCTACTTATTACAAGATGATTGCTACAGCAAGCTGACTTTAGAAAACACAAAAAATATAGTTTTAAAGATATGGGGCTAAAATTTGATATGGTAGTTGCAGCCATTAAAAACACACATACTTTGAGCATGGTACCTGCATAAAGTTATTTACAAATTTTGATCAAAATGACTGAAACACTAATTTCTCTACATAAATAGATTTTAGACGTAAACTCTGGGATGAATTGTGTGTGGGTATACATTCCTTCTAGTTATGATGGTTTGTTTTGGGACAAAACTACAGGGAGCTGAAGCAGAGGGACCAAAGAACCACATGAGATCACTGAGCTGTAGTCAGACAGTTTAACAAACATCTGTTTTCTTTGTTGTTTTTTTCCAGTAATGAATCTGATGTGGTGGAATCTCTCGACGCCATTTATTCTACAGGGACCTTTGTTCAGATCCATGAGATGCAGGATCTGGGCGACAAGCTGAGGATGATCGTCATGGGCCACCGCAGGTTAGATCTCTGCACCTGATGAGGGTAAATGGGCTGCTTCCTGGGTGGGTTCTGTTCTGTCAGGGTCTGGATCACAGGGCAGCTGAATTTTGGTGAAGCCTCACTCAAGACCTACCCTCAGTGTTCTCACAGGCAGTCTGCAGGTAAAGGTTTGGTCAGACCGTGCTGTAGGCTTGCACTTCACTTGTGTGTTTAGCCCCAAAGAAGGTGGCAGACTGTCTCTAAAGACTATGTCCTGACTTGCAAACTCTTCAAGTCTTGTCAAGGACCACGTGTTTCATGTGTGCAGCACAACGGCTCAGTAGTTAGCACTGTTCCCTCACAGTAACAAGGTACTGTGTTCAGTCCCCGGCTAAACCTGGGTTTTTTTGTGTGGAGTTTGCATGTTCTCCTCGTGTTTGTGTGGGTTTTCTCTGGGTACGCCGGTTCTTTCCCAGAGTCCAAAAACCTCAAATCAAAATCCTCCTGTGCTCCTGATCAAGATCCTGTTGATGGTGACTTAAGCGAAAAGGAACTCCAGTCTCATCCAAACTATCCAAAGTTTTTTAAACTCCTGGTTGAACTGTAGATTTTCAATGCAAACAAATGTGTTTGTGATGAGCTGAACTGATGAGCCTCCGTGTTTTCAGCTCAGACTTTTTTTTTCTTGTTGTGGAGCGAAGAGGAGGAATTGAAAATACCCTTTTGTCCATTATGAGCAAAACTTGTAAAATAAGTTTTATACTGACTTCCATTTTGGTGTGTGACTGCATCTAGGATTAGAAGAAAGATTCCTTTCAAAAATTGGAATTCAATGTCAAAATCCAGTCCAGAAAAACTTGTGTCTTGAAGACTAAAAACATTCATTAGTCAAGTCCCTCAGTGACAAAGGACATCAGCTTGTATTTGGTGGTAAAACGTATGAAATTGTACTCAGTTCTGTTGTGGATTTGTGGAGCCTTGACAGCCACAACTTTCCAAAGATGAGTTTTCAGTCTAGTTTAGAACAAAGAGGTGAAGAACTAAGATGAAACGTTTCCAAAATGAAGAATCCGTCCAGAGGATCTTACTTGTTGAAATGAGAGGTGAGGTTTCTTATTTCAGAGGATTCTGAGTTCCAGACTAGAGGAGCAGAGCAGCTTAATGTCCTGCTCCCAATGGTTGTGAGGTGGAAGGAGGAGGCAGATCTGAGAGAGTGGGAGGGGATGGAAAAATGCAGAAGGTCAGATAAATATGAAGGGGTAGGAGTGTGGATGGGGGCGGCACGGTGGCTCAGTTTGTAGAGCTGTTGCCACTCAGAGAGAAGGTTGCCAGATTGAATAATAAAAGTACTCAGTATACTGTGTACATGACCTTAGCCTATGTTGACACCTGATTAATATTACGTAGGTAGAAAAAGGCAGACTGAGTGACATTATTGATGTGGGACCTGAAGGACGGTAAGCTGACGGCTGATACCGACTCTTGACGTGAGGGCAGGAGAAAACACGTTTGTTTAGTTTTCCTGCAGGATGAGTTCTGTCTTATCATTGTGTAGTTGGAGAAAACTGTAAGAAATCCAGTAATTGAGTTGCTGAGTCGAGCAGTGAGTGCAGAAGGTGGGAGTGTAGAGTTAGTTGTGGTAGACGAGTAGAGCTGGGTGTCAACTGCTTAACAATGAAATTGGATACCAAATTTATGGAAAGTGTGATGACCTAAAGGAAGATAGTAATGATGAACAGGAGGGGCCCAAGGACAGAGCCTTGGGAAACACCAGTAGAGATGGTGAAAGAGTGAAAACTGAAACAAACTGGGTGTGCAATTTAACATTTATGTGGTTATTTACAATAAAATTCATAGACGTACTTGATTTAGTCAGGCATACAACCTGCACAACTTGACAAATACTTTCTCTGTGCTATTTCTCAAACCCTCAATGACGACTGACTGTGTGGCTCGACTGCACGCAACAAAAACACATGCGGTCACGGGCTGCTCTTCATGTGTGCGTTCTGGTCTGTCAGGATCCGTATCACGCGACAGCTGGACGTTGAGGCCGAGGAAGTGTCCACGTCACCCGAGTTGTCTGAGTCTGAGTCAGACCCCCAGCTCAAAGTTGTGTCGAGGCGTAAATCCAAACGCAACCGAAAGGAGCAGCCGACCTCGCTGATAGAGCAGCTGGAGGACAAGGTTTGACCTTTGACCTTGTCAGCACACTCACTGACTTTTTTATGTCTTTCTTTACAAACATGTTTAAGTGCCATTAGCTAACACACTTTAACAGTCAATTTCTTAGATTAGTGGTAGCTGGGGGTTATTCACAACATCTTACCATCTTCCTCTAAAGCTCTTAGATGAAAGGGGGCGAGTAATATGCATATTTTAAAGGAATATCAGACTTAATTCCTACTTTTAGTATAAATATTTGGAAATGAGTGTTACTGGTTCTTGATGCTGTGCTGTTCAGATTTCAGGGGCAGACCTGAGTCCAGACCTTCAGCCTTTGGCCTCCTCTGACGTCCTGATGGTTGAAGTGGATAACGTGCAGCACGAGCAGTTCACTGTCACGGAGGAAATAAAGGTGCAGACTGCAGCTCGGCAGGTGTAACCCATCAGTGCTGAACACTCACTGAGGTTTGGTTTGGTTTCTAGGCGCTGACCGCTGAGATCGTCAAGACCATCAGAGACATCATCGCGCTCAATCCTCTCTACAGGTGAGTTCTGACATCATGTTATCCGATGGTCCCAACTGGATCTCATCAGAATCCACTGATTGTTAGGATTTTGTTTAGACTGCTAATCCAGTTCAGGAAGTCTTTGTTCATCAATATAATCCCACAGATTGATGCTGGATTATGATCATTTAGTAGGCAGCTTTGCCCAATCTCAATCATACCAGTTTTGACTAAAGCAACTACAACACTCATTTGTCAGCAGAAGAGGTTCTCAGTCTAAAATACATAAAACTGGGTTCAGACTAAATTGTCTCAAGACTGTGGGCTGAATATTTAATCTGGATAATGTAACATGGAAATGTTAGTGTTCTGATATGTGTGTTTGTGTTAGAGAGTCGGTCCTTCAGATGATGCAGGCTGGTCAGAGAGTGGTTGATAACCCCATCTACCTGAGTGACATGGGAGCAGCGCTGACAGGGGCAGAGTCTCATGAACTGCAAGATGTCCTGGAAGAGACCAATGTAAACACCAGTTTTATTTATTTTTTTACTTTTATTTACTCAGAAAGGTCCCACTGACACAAAAGTATTTAAAAATGTATTTTGGTAGTGTATGTGACCACCATCTTGATAAGTGACAGTCTTCATTTACTCTGTCTGCAGATCCCGAAACGTCTTTACAAGGCACTTTCTCTGCTGAAGAAGGAGTTTGAACTGAGTAAACTGCAGCAACGCCTGGGCCGCGAGGTCAGGGGTCAGAGTTCAATGTGTGAGCATCGACCTCGCTGCGTCCCATCACTGATCTGTTTCTGCTTTGCTGTCAGGTGGAAGAGAAAATCAAACAGACCCACAGAAAGTACCTGCTCCAGGAGCAGCTTAAGATTATCAAGAAGGTAAAACGGGCTGCGCTCATTCTGTTTCTATCTTTTTAAACAGGTAGTCCCTAAATTATGTTTTTTAATAAACTCACTCGCTTCTTTAATTGTGTGGACAAGCTAATCTTAACTTGAGTTAGCTCAAATGACAAGCTAATCTTAGCTTGAGGTAGCTGAAGTGACATGCTAACTTTAGCGTGAGTTAGCTGAAGTCACATGCTAACTTTAGCTTGAGTTAGCTGAAGTCACATGCTAACTTTAGCTTGAATTAGCTGAAGTGACATGCTACCTCATGTTAGTTGAGGTAATGAAGTGATAAACTTCTTTTAGCTCAAGTTAGCTGAAGTGAAAAGCTAACATTAGCTCAATTTTGTTGAAGTGATAAACAAACTTTAGCTCAAGATAGCTAAAGTAATAAGCTAGTGTTAGCTCAAGTCAATCTTAGGACGATCCTCTATTTTGGTAAAACTGTTACATCGTCCTGTTCTAGTCATCTTTGTGCCAAAACTTGTTTACGATTATAGTTTGGATGTTTGTTTGTTTTTAAAGGTCACATTAAATGTAATTTCTGGATGTCATCAGAAGATACTCTTTCACTCATTACTTGCTTCCATCTCAGGCAAGCGACTACAGGAGCCTGCAGTGACCAAAATAGTCCTGTTCATTTTGAATGTCAAATTTGAAAAACACTTTGCAACATTTTACAGTAAATTCCATTTACTTATTAGTTCTGTTGTACGTCTTTGTGGGAGCTCTTCTGCCCGTGTTAAGGATCCACACATGATGGAACATATCTAGAATTAACTCTTGTCTTTTCAGGAGTTGGGTCTGGAAAAGGATGACAAAGAAGCTATTGAAGAAAAATTTCGGGAGCGGCTAAAAGACAGGACAGTTCCTGAGCACATAATGGAGGTGATCAGTGAAGAACTCAACAAACTGGGGCTGCTGGACAACCATTCTTCAGAATTTAAGTACGTCTTGTATTTTTTGTTCCCTAGACCTTTGAACTCTTACATAAACTGACTGCTTTTAGTGACATTAGGAACATCAGAAATAGTTTTTTTTGTTGTTGTTGTTGTTTTTACTACTGCAGTGGAACAAAAAATGTGTTCCTTCTTAGTGTTTGCTCTCTTTTGTTGCCTCACAAACCAGAGTTTAAAAAAGCTTTGTGTCTTTCTAGTAACACAACAAAATTCTCCCTTTGAAGATGCATAATAAATTTAGTGCAAAATAAGAAATAAGTCATAATAACCTTTGTGAATATATGCAACAAAGTTAAGTCAGGTCCTCTGGATGGTTTCTTTGTGTTGAAATGTTTCATCTTTCATCCAAAGGACTTCATCAGTCCGAGGAGCCACCATAAGCTCAGTCCCATAGGTAGCACACTCACATAGTGGACCAACCAGTTTGATGGTGATAAGATGGTTTCTGGAATCCACCCTCTCCCCTGTCGACTCCTCTGAGGCAGCCATGGCCATAGTGGTTCAAAACATCAAAGTTCATGCTCAGTAATCCAGGTAAAAAAATCCAACCAAGTTAAGTCAGGTCCTTTGGACGGTTTCTTTGTGTTGAAACGTTTCATCTTTCATTCAAAATACTTCATCAGTACGAGGATCCACGACAATGTGCATGTGGGTGCATGTGCTTATACATTCACCTTCATCTCCAACCCAAAGTCCAGACAGTCAGCATCAGTTCCAGCTTCAGGTCTCTTCAGGTCTATCTTCAGGATCTCGGTCCATCTGTCCATTCTTCATGACCAAATGTCTTCATCTCCTTCTGGTTGATTGGGTGCTGTTCATGCCCAACAGTCTTTAAATTAATTGAATCTCAGATGGGCTGAGGTTTGACTTTGACTGGACCATTCCAGAACCATTACCAGTACTTGGCTATCCGTAAACAGCTTCAGCAGCGTGTTTACAGTCATTGACCTGCTGGATGGTGGACCTCTGACCCAGTCTCAAATCTCTGGAATATTTCTCTGTAATTTGATCCATCTATCTTTCCTTTAATTCTGACCAGGTTCCTAGTTCCTGCTGATGAAAAATACCCCCACAGCATAATGTTGCTACCATCATGCTCCAATGTTGCCCTTGACGTTTGGTTTTATCTGACCACAGCACTTTCTTTCACATGTTTGGGATCTTCTTTCTGTCTACTCTTCCATGAAGCCCAGCTCTGTGCAGCTTCTAGAGGTCCTATGGACAGATCCTCTATCTCCCAGCTCCTTATCTCCTTATCCTGCTTATCTTTCTCCTATGTGATCTTTGGTGGAGCACACTCTCTTGACAGGTTTGCTGTGGTGGTATTAATTTTATATTTCTTAATAATGGATTTAATGAAGCCCCGTTGGATGTTCATGGTTTGGGGATATTTTTTATAACCCAACCCTATTCTGTTCTTCACCATCACTTTATATTTTAATACTTAGAGGTTTCATGCTGTTAATTCTGGGAGAGATCAGAAAAGGTGTATAGATATGGGTAAAGTTGTTGTTACACTTGTGATCTTCTTGAGTCTTCTTCCATCCATCTTGATCTCTGAGTTCAGCTTGAATGGTTGTGGTTGGTCTTCTTGGCTCTTTTTCTACCACACACACTATCTGTCTTCTCAACCAGGGGGTTCAGTTCCTCGGCCATGTGCCGAGAGGTTGTCCGCAGTCCTATGAACTGTACTTTTTACTAATCTTGTTAGCTGTGGTCAGAGGAACATGAAGCTGCTTGGAGATGGTTCTGTAGCCTTTACCTTTTAACATGAACATGCTTCATGTTCACTCTCCCACATTAGTCATTTTTTCAACTCACTCTAAATGGACTTAAAGGAGTTCAGTTAAACATCAACTTGTCAACACTCATGGTGTGGTGATCCTTATGATAACAAACTAACCACCAACTAGGTGCTTATTAACATGAAGATTTGTGTCATATTAACTCAAGTTTAAACTTTAAAAGCATTTAGTGTTCTGAATTTCCCAGTTATACACCAAACAAACCAATATTTTTGAATGTTCTTGAAATTATCTACTAATTTCTGTTTAATAGTAAACAAACTATGAGCTCCAAGTTCTGCTCAGAAGTTAGCAGCAGAATCGCTCTGGTATTTCCACCTGCACATCTTCTCTGACAACCTACACATGTCCGATTCCACCATATTTGTTTACAAAGAGCCTGATGTCAGTCATGTGATTCAAGGTTCAGAGGAGTGCTTAGTTTTTATTGAGCCCATACCCACATTTCAGAACTGCATTTCAATATATCTGGAAAGTGAATAAACACTTTCATAACAGGTCTCACGTGTAAATGAGTCTTCAAGGCTCAATGGGAACTAACCTGTATAAATAAAGATCTAATAATAATACTGCACCATTTAAAGCATAACCCTCCTCCTTGTGTTGCCGATCCTTCTCAAATCGCTGCTCCTTGAACTGGCACCTTATAGTGGTAGAGGAGTATGTGCACCTGAATGAACTTAGGAGCTGTCAGGGGCAATTGAAATTGCTCCACAAGTATGGGATTGTTGGTTCAGTTCTCACTGGAGCAGTTTGCAGCCGATGGGATGCGAATCAGAACCTCCAATTCTGAGACCATGATCCTTAATTGGAAGAGGGTTGATTTCTCTCTGAGTGAGAGAAGAATGGAGTGTGAGATTGACAGACAGATTGGTGCGGCGTCTGCAGTATTGCGGACTCTGTGCCCGTCCATTGTGGTGAAGAGGGAGCTGAGCTGTAAGGAGATACTCTCTGCTTACTGGTCGGGCTACTTTTCTATCTTCACCTATGGTCACAAACTCTGGGTAGTGACCAAAAGAATGAGATCGCAGATACTGGTGGTTGAAATGAGTTTCCTCCACAAGGTAGCTGGACTCTCCCTTAGAGATAGGGGGAGAAGTTCAGTTATCTGGGAGAGACTTGGAGTAGAACCGCTGCTCCTCCACATCCAGAGGAGTCGGTTGAGGTGGTTCAGGCATCTGGTAACGACGCTCCCTGGGTGCCTCCCTAGGGAGGTGCTTCGGGCATGTCTGACTGGGAGGAGACCCGGGGAAGACCCAGGACACGCTGTAGAGACTACTTCTCATGGTTAGCCTGGGAACGCCTTGAATCCTCCCAGAAGAGCATTTTATTTTACTTTGTGATGAATACCTTTAATACAGATCTTTAAAACTTTAAGACTGTACTTCTCCCACATTTTACACCAGAAATGACTATTTCTTTTCTAAAACATGTAATAAAACAAAGGAAAAGTTTATGATCACTACTAAAAAGTCAGAAAAACAGCCTTTATACTTTAGAGTCATGGGTATTTAATTAAACTGCTAATAAATAAATTTAAAGAAAACCTGACTTCAAAGTGGGAAACATGTTTAATGTTAAAAAAAATAGTTTGGACTCTAAAAACATTTAGGTTAAGTCACAAAAACATTAAATCAGGTCATCTGGACAGATTCTTCTTACATAATAATAGACCTCTTTTTCTACTATTAACAGAATATTGTGGATTATTTCAAGATAACTGGAAAATGGTTAAATCCTTCAGAATAAGTTGTGAATAGATGGTTAATAAAGTTAAAGTAAGAGTTAATTTGCATGTTCATTAGTGGTCAGTTTATGTCCCTAAACTTACTTGTACTAATTAGTTCAAGTAGAACAAATTCCTCTCCTTGTGGTCTGTGAACTACAACAAACTCTTCTGCTGGTTTTTAGTGTGACCCGTAACTACCTGGACTGGCTGACCAGCATGCCATGGGGTACAAACAGCATAGAAAACCTGTCACTGGAGAGAGCAAAGGAGGTTCTGGAGGAGGACCACTACGGGATGGACGACGTGAAGAAACGGATATTGGTGAGCAGCAAACCATGAATGTTCTCCGACATTCTCCGGTTGATGTCTGCAGTAGCTCTGGGTTCTGTTGTGTGTGCAGGAGTTCATCGCAGTCAGCCAGCTCCGAGGCTCAACGCAGGGGAAGATCCTGTGTTTCTACGGTCCCCCTGGTGTTGGGAAGACGTCCATCGCCCGCTCCATAGCCAGAGCACTGAACAGGCAGTACTACAGGTTCAGCGTGGGAGGCATGACCGACGTGGCCGAGATCAAAGGACACAGGTCTGTAGCCATTTCAGCTAACTCAAGTCCATTAGCTGCAGTGGCCATCCTGATTTGGGTTGTCTCCAAAAGTGAATGAGTGGCAGATGTTCTTCCAGGGTTTACTTTCTCATGGTTTCATTACAGTCTGTTCAGTTTCTCATGTAATATTTAGATCACAAAGTTGACCCAGAACTAGAATTATAGTCCCAGTTCTGCTAGTTTTAGCTTTTAGTTAGCGGTGATTTTGTTACTTTTTGTGAGTATTTTGCAACATTTAGCTAACCTTTGGCTTTTTTGGATTAAGCCATCTTTTCAATAGTGTTTGCTTTTAACTAGTCTTCTCCCACTTTGTGTGTAGCTTTCCTAATGCTACTTTAGCTTTTAGCTAGCTTTTTTAAAATTCAGCTAGCCTTTTGCTACTTTTAACCTTTAGCAAGACTTTTGTTATGTTTAGAAACTATTTAGCAAATTTTAGCTCAGAGTTGGCTCTTTGCTACTTTTAGCCTTTAGCTACTTTTTACAAGTGTTTTGCTACTGTTGGCTAACTTTTGGCTTTTTGTAGGTTTAGCTTTCTGTTTGGTAGTGTTTGCTTTTAGCTAGTCTTCTACCACTTTGAGTTTAGCTTTCTTGATGCTACTTTGGCTTTTAGCTAGCTTTTTTGTCTATATTCTGACTGATCTTTTAGCTGTATGTGAATATAGGAGAACACTGAGTTCATCCAATACTTTTCTACTGTCTGTCCCAAAGACCAACTACAAACGATGGGGTGACTGGGCCTTTTCTGTCGTTGCACCCAGACTCTGGAACCATCTACATTTTAAGTCTAAACTTAAAACCTTTTTATCCAGGCAGGCTTTTAATGCCTAGTAGTTCTTTGGCCATCTTGCTATGTTTTAATTGTTTGTTTTTAAATTTTAACTGTCTGAGTTTTAATTCTTAATTGTTTGTTTTTAACTTCTGTATTGTGCAGCACTTTGTGCACCTTTTGGCTGCTGGAAAGGGCTCTATAAATAAAGTTTGATTGATTGATTGATTGATTGATTGATTGATTGATTGATTGATTG